GCTGCAGTGAGCCAAGATCATGCCACTGTACTCCAACCTGGGTAACAGAGTGAGATCCTGTATCAAAAAGAAAAAAACAAAAAACAAAAAACAAAAAAAAAAAAAGAAAAGAAAAAAGAAAATGGAAGTCCTACAAGAGCATTTTTTTCAGCAATATATATATTTTTTGAGGCGGAGTCTCACTCTGTCACCCAGGCTGGAGTGCAGTGGCGTGATCTCAACTCACTGCAACTTCCGCCTCCCAGGTTCAAGCAATTCTCCTGCCTCAGCCTCCCGAGCAGCTGGGATTACAGGTGCATGCCACCACGCCCTGCTAATTTTTGTATTTTTTAAGTAGAGATGGGGTTTCACCATGTTGATCAGGCTGGTCTCGAACTCCTCACCTCAAGTGATCCGCCCACCTTGGCCTCCCAAAGTGCTGGGATTGCAGGCATGAGACACCACAACGGGCTGATTTATGTGAAGAAAATCTAGCCTCACACAGATACTAGTTAGCACAGAAAGTTCTTTAAGGAGCCCCTGAAAAGGTCTGCAGGTACCCAAGGGGCCTGCAACCACAGTTTTATACATTGAGAAATTCTGTTTATAGTACAACCAATTAATCTGTTTCAGAGACCCGGCCAGGTGCGGTGGCTCACCCCTGTAATCCCATCACTTCGGGATGCCTAGGTGGGTGGATCACCTAAGGTCAGGAGTTCGAGACCAGCCTGACCAACATGGAGAAACCCCATCTCTACTAAAAATTCAAAATTCCTCAGGTGTTGTGGCGCACACCTGTAATCCCAGCTACTCAGAAGGCTGAAGCAGGAGAATCACTTGAACCTGGGAGGTAGAGGTTGTGGTGAGCCGAGATTGTGCCATTGCACGCCAGCCTGGGCAACAAGAGCAAAACTCCATCTCAAAAAAAAAAAAAAATCTGTTTCAGAGACGATTTTTGTTGTTACTGTTCTAAGTAGGACAAAATATGGTTTGAAATATAAATAGTAAGTCAAAGTGGCTACTATAGTTTTATCAAATGGCATATATATATATATATGAAATATAGGCCAGGCGAAGTGGCTTACACCTGTAATCCCAGCACTTTGGGAGGCTGAGGTCAAGAGACTGAGACCATTCTGGCCAACATGGCAAAACCTCATCTCTACTAGAAATACAAAAATTAGCGGGGCATGGTGGCACATGCCTGTAGTCCCAGCTAGTCAGGAAGCTGAGGCAGGAGAATCGCTTGAACCCGGGAGGCAGAGGTTGCAGTGAGCTGTGTCACTGCTCTCCAGCCTGGGCAACAGAGCAAGACTCCATCTCAAAAAAAAGGAAAAGAAATATATACATATTCAACATATATCTTTGGCTCTAGGTAAAGATGTATTGATTAATGCATCCAGAAATATTTATGGTACTAGATTTAGTCCCCTAGAAGCCGTGGCCCCTTATGGTTCTAAGGATAGAATGTAATGGGTAGAAACTTAGATGTTAGTGATTATATTTGAAACGCCACAGGAGTCAAGCAATGATCTGATTCAAAGAGAGACTCTTTTATAAGGATTTTGTAAGTATGATATTAGAATACATTCCTCGGTCTATTCCTGATCCCCACAGTAAGCTCTTCCATTACCATGGCAACCCGCTCATACCTGTGACAAATATTTTCTGTGTGCCTCTGTTGGGGAAATAAAATTAAAAACAAAATATTTTCCCAACCCAGAAAACATCTCCACAAAGGTAGTAGAGAAAGCGGTTTGATTCGTTGAATAAGCATTAAACCAGAATGTGATGAGCATCACAGGCAATCTACTAGGAAATTGCAAGGACAAAGAAATCTCACCTTTTCATCATATAGCCAAGCAGATACAACACATTATATACATGCTCTCAAGATAAACAATAACTAGTCCTTCAGTAAGAGGACTTGACAACACGGTTTGTCACACACAGTCCGTCCTAGATTCACCTGATAATTAAGGTGAATGTGTTAGCTGATTAGCTGTATTCAGAGGAAAAGGTAGTTTGACAGAAGGTAGTTCTGCAACTTGCAGCAAGAGGCCACCCAAGTTAAGCTCATACTTCGAGCTTAGAATCCAACAGGGGAAACTAACAATAGACAAGTAATTACATGATGGTCTTAAGAAGTGGTATGGAGAAGTACCGAGGATGCTAACAGCATCTAACAGGGAACCTAAAAGTAGTCTGAGAGATCCAGAAAGGTTTCCCCAAGGAAGTTCCAACTAAATTGAGACATGAAGGTTTCCCGAAGGAAGTTCCAACTAGGAACTTTTTAAATGTTTATTAAAATATAAACATTTTAATATATTTTTTAAAAAGCCTTTATTGTTCAAAGTATTCCTTTGCTACAGGGTGCTCCCAACCAGAAGATGAGGGAAATGGAGGATAATGAAGCACGCCCCTCCCACCAAACAGGATAAATTCTAGAGGCACTGCGAGATCAGGAAATTAAGATGTATTTTTGTCCCACCCTATTTTTACAGGTGAGGTATCAAGTTGAGGTTACAGCTACTCGTAATTTTCTTCTGGCCCAACTGAAAGGTATCATAGAAAATAAGAGAAAGCTGTGTGTGCGTGAAAGGGATCCGCCTTCCTCTCTGAAGAAAAGCGTGGTGGTAGCTTCGGAAACGCTTTTCGAGCCAACTCTGCAGCTCGGCTGGCGGCGGCGGCTGCGGTAACGTCAGTTCCTTGCGGAGGCGGCGCCAGGCGGGGTCGGCGGGAGCTCGGGGGAGGCCGCGGGGAGCGGGCTGGGCCCCGCGGGAGAGCAGAGCTTCGGCCGTCGCACCCGCAGGACAGCAGGGCCTGCTTCCACTCTAAGGCGAGACCAGAAACTTGCCTAGTGGGGCAATTCTGGTGCCCCATCAGGGCTGTGCGCCCTCTGAGATCATCCCTCAATCAAACGAATAGGAATTCTTGGGAAGAAAGAAAAATTTTGCGGCAATTTGGCTAAAACTTAGCAGCTTTCAGGGAGCGATTCAGGGCATTATCTCTGTGGTTCCCTCGGCGAAAAAAGACTCGAAGGGCTACTGGAAGCCGCCTGGCCCCACAGAGCTGCAGCGCCCAGGCCATAGGTGGCGGCGGCGGCGGCGGCGGCGGCTGGAGGACCCGGCGCTGGGGGCGCTGAGCGGCGTCCTCGCTTCCGGAGCCCGGCGGGCGTCGTCAAGCGGAACCGCGGCTTCCGGCCGCCGCGTAAACAAGGCCGTGGGCTGTTGGAGGCGGGGCGGACGGGCTGCGAGAGGGAGCCGGTCCGACGCGGACCCGTTCCCTGCCGTGCTCCGCGTCTCGGGCCCGGCTCCGCTCGTGGCCACTCTGCAGGCGTGTCCCTGCGGCGGAGAGCCGTCCTCAGCCGAGGAGGCTGGGAAACGCGAACGCCGGCTGCAGGGAGGCCTCCACGCCGTCCCTTTTGCCGCCGCCCTCTCCTTGCCTCGCGCCGCTGTGCATTTCTCTACTTTTCCTTTGTTTCTTTGGCCCCTCTCGGGTGAGGGCATTCTTGGTTAGCAAAGTGCAGCCTCAAGATGGCTGATGGCAATGAGGATCTGCGGCCGGATGACTTGCCGGGGCCGGCCTTCGAGAGCTATGAGTCCATGGAGCTCGCCTGCCCCGCCGAGCGCAGCGGCCACGTAGCCGTCAGCGACGGGCGCCACATGTTCGTCTGGGGCGGCTACAAGGTCAGTGGGTGGGCGGGCCGCGGCGGACGTCGCTCGGCTGTGACTCGGGTCCGGGTCCGCGGCCAGGCGGGGAGGCCAGAGCGGGCCGCCGAGGGCGCTCCCCGCCTCCGCCGCGCGCCCCACCTCAGCGTCTGCCCGTTGGTTGGTTTTTCTTGCGCGCGGGAATCTTCCTTCTCTGGAGTCCCTCAACCAATCTCGAGTCTCCAGGGCTGCTTTCACGTCAACCTGGTGCTCACAAAGCCAACTCACTCCCACCCCTGTTGTTGCCATTGGAGCGTTATTCTGGGGAAGGTCCTGTTAATGTTGTTTGGGCGGTGCATTATTCGGAAGGGTTGGAGTGTGTAAGGTGATGGCGTGTGATGTCACTCAGACGCGTTATCAGGACGGCCTAGAGGACTTTATCCTCTGGGGCTGGGAACCGCTGCCCACTTACGGGGTGCAGGAATCACCTTATTTAACCTTGCCGCCTGTGCAAATGACCATCATACTATTGTTTGAACCTCTCAGGACTATTTTCCTTCTGGCTTCAGCTGGGTTGAAGTTTTTCAGCAGACACCCCTATTAAGATAATTGATGGAAAAGCTCCACCGGTATCCTTTGACTCTGATCCCCCAGATATAAACAACGTGATTAGTTGGTGGTTTAAAGCCAGTTGCCTTTCTTTACTCTGCTCTCTTGGAAGTCTAGAATTTTATTTGCTGGGATGGCTCTGATCCAGTCCTACCACAAAATACTTTTATTCGTCTTTGGTCTTGAAAATGTTCTCCTCCCTCCCCACGCCTTTGCCCTGGATGACTTGCTTTGTGACTGTTTTTAGCTTATGGTACAGTTGAGTTGACCGTGGCTGACCTTTTTTGAGCTAGCTTTCAAAAATAGATGTCCTGATACTTTAATTTGGTTTAACTGCAAAAGTAATTTTTGCCAATCCTAATTCATCTGCAGTGTTTTCCCCAGTCTCCAATGAATGTGGTTAGAAAATAGGAGGCCGGGCGCAGTGTCTAACGCCTGTTATCCTAGCACTTTCGGAGGCCAAGGCCGGTGGATCACCTGAGGTCAGCAGTTCGAGACCAGCCTGGCCAACATGGTGAAACTCCGTCTCTACTACAAATACCAAAAAAAAAAAAAAAAAAAAAATTAGCCGGGCGTGGTGGTGGGCGCTCTTAATCCCGGCTACTTAGGAGGCTGAGGCAGGACAATTGCTTGAATCCCACGAGGTGGACATTGCAGTGAGCAGAGACGGTGCCATTGCACTCCAGCCTGGGGCAACAAGAGCGAAGCTCCCTCTCAAAAATACTTTAGAAAGGGGTAGAGAATTTCAGAAATTGGGGATGGGAGGTGTGAGCATGTAGTCACCCTTATAAAAATGTACATTAATTCCCCAGGAGAACAGAAACCTGTCAATCACATTTTGGTCTAAGCTACCTAATTCATAATTGTATTTTTTAAATTACAGCATTGGGAGAATGAGACTTTGGGAGTGGGGCGGGGAGGATTCTCTGTGTGGAATATTTCTTATGGTGGATTGGGGCAGATTCAGGGAGAAGCAGCATAATCACTGAATTGGATGGTTATAAAACAGACTGCCCTCCCCATTTATGGCTGGTGGCTGGAACCCTGAAGAGTAGGCACAGAAGTCCTTGGAGATTGTTGCAAAGGCAGTAAACTTTGGCTCCCTACATAGTAGGTAGTTTTCCTCCGCAGAATAGGCTGGTCACTTCTGGGTCAGCCCGTTTCCAGCCATTCCCTTCATCATTGGTGGAGTGGAAGGATAAATGTTTGGGTGGCCAACTGTTCGGTTTCTGTATGTGCAATATTCAAGCTTACTGGACTTTGACGCCCATTTTCCGTGAACCGCAGTTGTTTACTGTATGTCAACACTGTTCAGAAAGTGGGCAGAGAGGGTCAAAGGCTGGGACTGTCAGGCAGTTGTTAAAGTTCAGGGAAAGGATGGAATCCTGCCTCCACCATTACTTCATAAATAACCTTGGGCAAATTACTTAAACTCTAAAGAACTCTTTCTCACAACATCAGCTACTTTTTAGGGTGATTGTGAGGATTAAATAAAGCAATTCATGGATAGCTGTCACCTCCGACATATGGTAGGCTCAGTTTATGTGTTAGGAATTAATACCCGAAGGGAAATGGAGCTGAACAAAGAACCTAAAATTCTACATAAGGATTTAATATTTGTATATTTGCAGTTCTGCCCTCTCTGCTGCTGCTTAGAGAATAGGTGAAAGGATAGCTTGGCTAGAAAACCATGCATCATGTTAGTGTGGGTCAGGCACTTTGAGTAGTAGCCTGCTGGCTATGGCACAGGTAATCTTTCCTGCAGTCATGCACCTGAAATTTGGTGCATGGTTCTGTTGAGGATAAAGTGGCCTTAGTTCCCAGAGATCTGTTGGCTGGGCACAATGGCTTACAGCCTGTAATACCAGCACTTTCGGAGGCTGAGGCAGGCGGATTGCTTGAGGCCAGGAGTTTGAGACCAGTCTGGCCAACACGGTGAAACCCCCTATCTACTAAAAAATACAAAAATTAGCCAGGTGTGATGGCGAGTGCCTGTAATCCCAGCTACTCAGGAGGCTGAGGCGTGAGAATTGCTTGAACCCAGGAGGTGGAGGCTGCAGTGAGCTCACTCCAGCCTGAGCTACACTTGGACTAAGGAAAAGAAAAAGTCTCTTAACTTCTTGCACTATTGCAACTGCTGTATCAAAATTCTGAATTAAGAGCTGTCAAGCTGGGCTTGGTGGCTCACACCTGTAATCCCAACACTTTGGGAGGCCAGGGTGGGTGGATCACCTGAGGTCAGGAGTTTGAGTGACTAACGTGGGGAAACCCCGTCTCTACTAAAAATACAAAAATTAGCCAGCGTGGTGGCGCACGCCTGTGATCCTGGCTGTTCAGGAGGCTGAGGCAGGAGAATCGCTTGAACCGGGAGGCGGAGGTTGTGGTGAGCCGAGATCGTACCATTGCACTCCAGCCTGGGCAACAAGAGTGAAACTCTATCTAAAAATAAAAAATCTGTCTGTATTGAGCTTTACCTTGAGTGTGTGGCATGGGTAGGGGAGGACTGTGCACTATAAGACCTATTTAACTTTTTATCACCAGTAATTTCATAATTAGTATCTCAAGATCAATTTGAAAAAAATACAGTAGTGCCTCTTTAAAATGTTTTTATATTTACAAATTTTTTTTATCCTTAGAGTAATCAAGTCAGAGGATTGTATGACTTCTATCTGCCTAGAGAAGAACTATGGATCTACAACATGGAGACTGGAAGATGGTAAATATGGATATTATTTATGAGGGGGACTAAAAAATTCACGCGGGCTGGGCACAGTGGCTGGCTCATACCTATAATCCCAGCACTTTGGGAGGCCCAGGCAGGCGGATCATTTGAGGTCAGGAGTTCAACACCAGCCTGGGCAACATCGTGAAACCCCATCTCTACTAAAAATACAAAAATTAGCTGGGTGTGGTGGCACACACCTGTAACTCCAGCTACTCAGGAGGCTGAGGTGGGAGAATCGCTTGAACCTGGGAGGCGGAGGTTGCAGTGACCACAGATTGTGCCACTGCACTCTAGCCTGGGTGACAGAGTGAAACTCTGTATCCTAAAAAAAAAAAATAAAATTGGGGAGGCCAAGGTGGGGGGAATCACCCGAGGTTGAGTTTAAGACCAGCCTGACCAACATGGAGAAACCCCATCTCTACTAGAAATACAAAACTGGCTGAGTGTGGTGGTGCATGCCTGTAATCCCAGCTACCTGGGAGGCAGAGGTTGTGGTGAGCAGAGATTGTGCATTGCACTCCAGCCCAGGCAACGAGTGAAACTCTGTCCCTAAAAAAAAAAAAAAAAAAAAAATTCAGATATGGTTGCAAAGAAAA